ATGGCTCTAACCGTCTGGGGCAAGGGGGGGGGGGTTCAGTGTTTCAGTGTCTTGCCCAAGGACACTTTGACATATGGACATATGGACTGCAGGCACCGAGATTCAAACCTCTAACCCTCCAGTTGGGAGATGACTGCTCTACCCACTGAACCACAGTCACCCCCTCAATGATGTTCTGGGCTTTTTTTGAGGCAGCGGGAACTGTGTAGTTCTTTCAGAGTGAGGAGATCTCCTGGGCCGTATTAATGATCGTCTGGAGTGTTTTCCTCTGAGCCACTGTGCTGCTGCTATACCATGCACTTATACAGTATGTAGGGATGCTCTCAGTGGAGCACCGATAGAAGGACACCAGCAGTCTCTGGAAGATGTTGTTCTTCCTGAGTAGGGCATGGCCTCATCGTTATGCAATGTGTCACATGGAGGCAGGAAGAAAGATTACCCATTCCACATTTTGGGCCCATAATTCGAGTTGAGTCAGAATCAAGTCTGAATCAAGTCCCCCTTAGCCGAGTCAGAGTCATCAAGGTCTACATTAAACACAATTGGTACAGCTGTCACCATTTTATATATCAAACTTTCTAACATTGTGTTTCATCTTAGTGTTGCTCAAGCAATTTGATACAAAAAAATCATTTATAGAAAGGCGGGGTGTATGCTTCGATGGAAGTGTGCCAGCATGTTGAGGGCTGGCGTATCTTACCCCAGAAAAGCCCAAGTCCGAGTCTCCAACTTCTGAGTCTCAATGCAGTTCATACTCACAGTAGCATGGACAGAGCCAACAGTTCCATTTTTACATACAATGTGAATTTTGTTGGAAAGATCACCTGTATTGACAAAGTGATTATGTGTACAGCTAGAAAATGTTTTTAATGTGTAGTTACCCTTTAAGTCATTTATCAAGCAAAAATGGTACTTTTCTGTTTTACATAATTGCAAATTGAATATCATTGGAGTTTTGGCTGTTGGTGAAATAAAACTAACAGAGCCACTTTGGCCTTATGTTGCCTGATGGGACATTTTCATTATTTCTGACTTTTAGAACTAAATGATTAATCAAAAACAGATTAATGATGAAAATAATCATTAATTCAGCTCTACAACCGGTTTTGATCGTAACAGTACAAGGACTGAAAAACTGTCAGCATCTTGTGGATTTACGGCACGTATGTTTTTCATTGTCAGGCCTTTATTTGGCACTCCACTTACGCAGAGAGGTGGGGATGGCCTCTGGAGATTCAGAGACTGCTGATACCACAGGATCATCATCCGGCATAACTCAGACACTGAACTTGTAGACGCTATGTGGCGGAATGCCACGAGTATCTCAGCTGTCACCCCTATTAGTAAGATTAGGCTCTGGTAGAGCAGAGTGACAAATGAGTGGTGGGTATGACCACTGGGTTCTAATGCAAAGAATACAAAAAATGGGAGAGACAGAGAGACAGTCAGACACAGACACTGGAGCCTATGGAAAAACAGTATGTCAGTTTTGCTGATGTCTGTAGTAACAGTAGCCTCCAATTTGACATTCCCTCCACAAAACATTGGTTTGCTTTTTTCTTTTTTTCCTCTTTTTGGCTTCTCTTTGACCTCCGTAAAAGAACAAGCTATGTTTCCCAGGGCCCATCTATTTGAAGCTCATAGTTTTGGTCATCCAAAGTTTTCTGTTCCAACTCAAGCCGTTCAGACACTGTCCCCACTTACATTTCCACAATGGCAGGGTCCTGGGGGCCAGACCATAGCCGCCCTACACCCTGCCCACAGTTGAGTTGCCTCTGGCAGGACTATTGCGTGCTTTGTGTGCTGGTTCTGGCTGCTGATCAGGGAAACCCCACAGTCTCTCCATGGTGAATGTCGAATGCCCTGCCAAGACCATTATGCATCCCTTCAATGGCCATGAATAGCAGCACACCATAGTACAGAAGATTTGAGAGATGTGCAATTCACCCAGCTCTACAATGCAAGACCATGACACAGATACACACAGTGGTGAACTGAACTAATGCCTGACATGGTTTCTATGTGTTGTGTCGCTAAGACTTTTCTGATGGACAACAAACAAAACAAGTCCTGATCAAATGTGTCCAACATTTCACTGCACAGGAAATATCAATATAGTTGATGAATAATATTCCTTTACATGGCTATTGAATTAAATCTAAACAAACACTACTCTAGAACACCAGGGGATTAGTCCTCTGATTCTGCAAATATTGGCTGTTGTGAATTAGTGTGGCTACGTGAACTCCAGCGCAAGGCCTATCGTGTATGAATTTAACATGCATAAATATAGAGATTATTGCTCTATCAGCAATGTCACCACTAAGTCCGTGTCCAACACACATAACCATAATGACCCAATAATCTCTTAGACACAAAAAACATCCTTTTTCTATTTTTCTAAGCACTTCTATATTTGCATTTCTCTCACTGACATTGTTTTCCTGACACAGGAAGTGACCAAACTATAATGTCTCTAACACTTACTCTTAATACTGGCCTCCTTTAAGAGTCCCTCCGCAGCCCTTCCTAAATCGCTTGACAGATCAGTGTCAAATGAATAAATGTGACAGAGTTAAACTGTTATCTGCATTTGGCACTAAGGAACATCTGTCTATCAATTTAAAACTTGTGCAGAGTTTCTTAAATCTCCCGCAGTTCTGTGTCATATTGTGGTGGTCGATATCAAGACAAGTTACATCAGCTGTCAGGCAGCTGGCAGGCTTGAAGTATCAGCCTATCCCATTAATCTTGTGATTACCCTTCACTGATCCCATCAGCACTGCCTGGATCTCGGGTGTGGGGCCTAAAGTTTTATCGTGCAAGTCAGCCCTCTCTCCCTGCATGCACATGACACATAGGGCACACACGCAAACACAGAGCACACTCCAAGATATTTCATCGTATTGTAATCACCATAGAGGCAACATATCCCAAATACAAACCCCAGAAGCCCCTTTTCCAGCATAGGTGGGGGGCAACAAGAAGTAGTATTTTTGCCCAGACGAGTTTGCCCCACCTCCTGTATAAAAAGAACTAGACTAAATGAGGGGCTTTGGACATCCACCTGAGAAAGAGACAGAGAGAAGGAGAGAGAGAAAGCTAGAGAGTAAATGAGGAGAGGGAGCAGCTTCAGCGAGAACAGAGCAGTTGGATGTCACGATTAGCATCATGTCTGTAGCACTGGGAGTCCAGCAGATGTGTAAAATTAACGCAAGGCAACAGTTTGCCAGTTTTTCGAATGTAGTGTAAAGGGGGCTCAAATCAAAAAATCCACTTTGAAGAAAGGTCAAAACTCTGTATAAAAAGGGCTAGAGACCGAAGCTCATTATGCCTATGCCTCATTGTTCCCTACTGATATGGCTGGAGCCCCGATGCTGTTGTGTTTCAGTAGGGTGGTGGTAGTGCAATGAGTCACAGAGGTCAGAGCTAGAAGTTAAGGGGGCAAATTCTGCTCGCTCTTCTAACTGGGGGTGGGGGTGGGGGAAGTGACATGCTGTGACAGGCTTCAAGGCTTCATAAAGTGAGAACGCCTCCAAAGCACACGAGCAAACACTCATATATTGCACCCACAAGCAGACACAGACACACATGAGCACATTCACCCAGTGTGTACACACACGCCCACACAATTACATACCTGTCAAATGGTGCATCTAATACCTAAAAGTGACTCGCCAGCATCCCACAACTACCATTTCACAAGTTAAACAAAATTAGCATATAACATGCATATGAAACGCTGTTTTTTTATATTGATTAACTTGTTTTGTGTTTCCATGAACTATGTGTCTGTGAGGGATGGTTAAGCACTCTTGCCATAATATGCTGCATCATGGTAGTTTTCTTTATGTTGTTTCGTGGGCACTGACTGAACTGGGAAAGAAATGATGGGCAAAAGGAATGCTGGAGGCAATTACCTCCCCTGACTCTCTGTTCTCGGGTCAAAAGGGGACCAGCCATAAATGCCCGGACACCAACAGAGTCAGACCTCTGACCATGCAGGCCTTGTTTCACTCTCCCTGTAGCCACTAATGTCAGCTGATGGAAGAGGTCCTGATTGTTTAAATTTACAGCGTAATGTCATTCAGTGTCATGAACAAATAACAATGCATGTATTCATCCAGTATGAGCATATAAGAAGATAGTAATGCTAATATGCTACTTTTAGCACATGAACACCAAAATATATCATCATGAAGTTATCAATTTTCTCAGTCCTATAGGCACATTCTTTTTCAAGTCCCTTTTGTGTACAGGTGTTAATACACCTGCTATAACCTATTGTGCCTTTAACAGGATGAGCTCAGAGTGGCAATAATTATGAAATGCCATTTTTGCTGTTGAACGGCTTTGACAAGCTCAACAAGAATATAATACACGCTTGTGGCCTCTCAGACAAAAGGGGCAAATTGAGATGTGTGGTGGATGCCAAAAAACTGAAGATGGTTTAATTATGAGACCTAAAGCATGATGTCATTTTTTTTTTTTTTTTTGCAATCTATTCACTGAGTAGTAGATTAGGGGAGACCTGAACTGACAGAAAATGCTTTAATTCCTAATCGTTTAAAATAAAATTTTATTAGAACATAGAAGGTATATGTTTGAGCATGTTCATATTTAATGATTCAAGCGAATAGAGCAGGTTTTTCTCTTCCATTCATGCCCTGCAAGGCATTTTTCAGCTGTTACAGTGCATCTTGATGCGAGTTGAATGAAACGGTCTGGCATGTACCATTTAAATTTAGGGGTGAATAATATGCAATACACTGTTCGTCTGCAAGTGTAATTCACCAAAGCAAATATTCTTTGTCAGATTATACGTAAAGATACTTGGGTTATTTTTATTTAATTAGAATATATACATTTTACTGACTATTTTTACGTGACAGTGAATCCTGCAATAAAACTAACCCCGCTGTAGCAGTAGTTTGGACCATGCCAAGATGATGTTACCAATAGCCCTTTAAAGTCGCCCCACTTCCGAGATGAAGTAGAGTAGGGTTCCAGAGCAGAGCGGAAAAAAGAGGCCAGGACTGACAATCTAGAAATATAAAACAAGTCTTCGGTTAGATATGCTTTGTTGAGAGAATACGTTTGGACTTCGAGATTTTTTTATGGATCTAAGGAGTTTTCTTTTTGTCCACATAGGACGTGGCGTCTGTGACTGCATTAAAGTGGCATAAATAAGGTTCATTTGCGGCAAAAGAAACGTGAATCTTTTAATATTGCGCACAAAGACAAAAACAGCATCCTGGACTACTCTTGGGAAACAGGAATGGTTTGTCCTTCCGAAGGTTTATTCTACATCGAAATGGATCAAGCACCTCCAGGTAAATTAGGGTTAAGACTAGTCATTCATTGTCTGACCTGCGGGGGGTCGAAAACGTCTTATTCATTTTCTGAATCCGTCTTAATCTGTCATTATCTTGTGTAATGTCTTAAATAAAGTGACACGGATGCAATGCAAGTGTTAGTAAAACATTATAATGGCCAGGTCCTCGGTGCTGCGCTCCCCCAGTGGCATTGCCCAGGCATGCATAGCGCAATTCACTTGGCAATTACGTAATACCTTTCAGTGGACCAGGCGCAGTGGTTTGCCTCTTTTCTTTTGTCCCAGCACATATGACAGACTTAGAAATGCGCAGCTATCTTGCATCTCCTTGTAAACCTAAAGGAGGCTTACCAAAGGCGTATGCCAGTGCAAAGAGTGCATTTTAGAGGAATATAGGCTAGTTGACGGTGCGTTAATGAGCGCCGCATGAAACGACCGCTTTGTTCTCCTCTGCAGCCAGCCGTAGTTAATTTGTGTGCTAGCTCTGAAAGTAGGCTAAAGGCAAACAGTTTAGATAGCTCGTCTCATGACTTAACTCCGGCAGCCCAGGAACAGCTCACTTTTTATTTACATTTGTCATTTGACTGCCGTGTTGTTACATTGTCTTAACAGTGTATGACTTGTATCCAATTATTTCAGTCTTGTCTCATTCTAAATAGCAGCCTGGCTAAATTAATTTTACCTTTGCATATTTAGCCATTTGACTTTTAAAGCTGCACCATAATGTTAATGTCCATTGTTTATTGTTAACTGCAGTTGATACTGATTAACTTAAAATGAATGCTATAATATACTGTGCATGGTGAACTACACACCGTGAGAACAACACAGATGCCTTACTGTTCCTATAAAGTCTATTGGAATTATATTTTAGAGACAATTCCTGAGTCTAGTTATAAAGACTAGCCGTTTGTGTTTTTTGGATTGGGCACAGTTCAAACACAGGCTGCAGCGTGACTGATTTGATATTTTTATTATTCCATACTTAAATTAGCTACGTGGCTCTTGTCTGTACTGGTATGCGCATGTGGTTTTTGGAAGCCAGTAGAGTTTCTTGGCACCAGACAGAAAGGGGAAGGTGTGCAGATTTAATTTTGCTGAGTCCAGGAGCCGCAGCTTTTCGTTTTACGCGTGCCATGGTGCTGCTGCACCTGTCTTTTGTTTATTTTAAGGTCAGAAAAAGAGGAGAGTGGATGGTGGGAGAAACCCACATTTTCTCCTCTCTGAGTGTGCTCTTGTATTCTCCCAAACTGCCCCATGAAAGGCACTTTTGTCCTGCAGTGAAATATATCGCCCTTCACCTTCTCTTGATGCGGTTTGCTCTTCTTTTTTCATTTTTAGCAAAATGTGTAGTCTTTGGGCCAGGCTCACAAATGTTTCTTCTTTTAAGTTTGACGGAAAACTTAGGAGGATCTGTTAGCATGCAATGATTGAAAATGGGAGTGGTAGTCCAAGAGACTCAAAATAAAATTTACAGTCTATTTAATGCTTCTCATGCAATTCAGGAAAGTTCCAAAGGCAGCTGCAAAGTATAGAGGTTGGACTTAAATCTACTTTGCAGGAGTTTCAGGCAAATGAATAACTAATATTTTATATATATATATGGATAATAAAAGTAAACATATTCCATAGTTGCTGACTGGCAGGGCACAGAAATTAGGACTGACTGTCACATTTCCTTTTTTAGCCCTGACCACATTTAAGATCTTGGTAATTAGTTGCAAATGATATCCATTGGAAACATGCCTAGGCTTGTCCTCAGATCTTAACAGGCTCCATCAGGGTGTGACAGTGTCTGAGTGTTTGTGGTGGGGGGTGTTGGGGGCAATACACTGAAAGTACTGCATTCTCCTTAACACAGACACGCATCCTTGACTGCACATGATCTCACAACAGATCAAAATTTTACTATTTTTGACCAATCCCTTTATAACAATCCTTTGCATTTAATTTTTGTTGTTGTTCTTTCTCTTTTGCTTGCAGCTCTCCCTCCCAGGTCAACAAAGCCAGTGTCTTCCACAGTGAACAACAACTGCCTTACGCCACCTGCATATTCACTACAGGACGCTGAATGGTACTGGGGAGACATAACCAGGTAAAGTATGTCAGCATTACCGGTCCAGTATTAAGCATAATATCAGCACTGAGGATGTGTTATTTAACAGTATAATGTGTATTAGATTTAATGTATGTTAGATGGATAAACTGTTCAATCATCCTTCAGGGATGAGGTAAATGAGCTGCTCCGAGACACACCTGATGGCTCCTTTCTGGTGCGCGACGCATCCACAAAGCTGCAAGGAGACTTTACACTGACATTAAGGTGAGCAGATGAACTAGAGAACCACAGCTCTCATCATAGTATTACCACAAACATCATCAGCAGGGTTTACATTTTATTTTACAGTAATAATATAGTTTAGTTTTTTGCCGTTTCACAGGAAAGACGGGCACAACAAACTAATCAAGATTTACCACCATGATGGGAAGTACGGCTTCTCAGACCCTCTCACATTCAGTTCAGTAGTGGAGCTCATTTGGCACTATCAGCACCATTCGTTGGTGGAATATAATGCCACACTGGATCTGATGCTCGCACATCCTGTGTCCCACTTCCAGCAGGTTAGTTACTACCATTATTTTATCTTTTTGTGTAAAAATGTCGGTCAATCTGACACTGCAAACGTATGATGAGTGGTGATACACAGGATTATGAACTGCACATAATCTGATGAAATGGAATTTTTGACATAAGGTCAAAGAGGACCGTGTCGACGTCGCTGGAAGAAAACTCAAAGAGGTTCACAGTCAGTATCAAGAGAAGTCAAAGGAGTTTGATCGTCTGTATGAAGCCTTCACAAAGACCTCACTGGTAAAAACTTTGAAATCAGCTGATTGTCTCTGATCAGTTCTTCTCTAAATATCAGTGGCCTGAGTCTCCTCTTACCGGATGTATTCTTTGTAATGCAGGAAATCCAATTGAAGCGAACAGCAATTGAGGCCTTTAATGGGACGATGCTGATCTTTGAGAAGCAGTGTCGGGAACAAGAGCGTTACGGAGAGGAGTTTGAAAGGGACAATCAGTCTGAAGGAACCAACAAAGATCTGGAGAGGTAAAATTCATCCCAATTGTAGTTTAATTTTGAGTGCACATAGCCCATATTCCTTGAACATGATTTAGACCCTCAGTCTTTACTTTTCCGCTTTAGCTTTCTGATAAATTATGAAAAGCTGAAGTGCCGACTTGGGGAGATCTATGACAGCAAAATCCATCTTGAGGAAGACCTCAGAACGCAGGTGGATGACTACAGAGAGACGGACAGGAAGATGAACAGCTTGCGGCCTGATCTCATCCAATTATGCAACATCAGAGACCAGTACCTAAAGTAAGTAGTGTCAGATATTATTTGGTAAATTATCGCAAACCAGTAAAAGGAAGAAACAATGTATCTGTAAAGAATTTTACTAAAAAAAAAACAAAACTTTTTCTTACACCTCTCCCTGCAGCTGGCTTAATCACAAAGGCGTGCGGCAAAAACGTATAAATGACTGGCTCGGGATCCAAAGTGACAGCCTTGATGAGTAAGTTTCAACACATTCTTTCAAGAAATTACATTTAAAGTAATGCAGCTTATAGCTTGTAAATCAATCACACAATTGTTGCAGAGCTGTTACAATACAACCCATGTTTTCCCAGCACATACGTATTGAAAGGAGACGAAAAGAATTTGCCACATCAGGATGAAACAACTTGGTTTGTTGGTGAACTGAGTCGAACGCAGGCTGAGGAAATGCTTCAGGGTAAAGCTCCTGGAACATTCCTGATCCGCGAGAGCAGCAAACAGGGATGCTACGCCTGCTCTGTTGTGTGAGTGTAACATTTTGGAGAGCTATACCTGAATTATGGATTCATTTTAAGTTGAATATTGCTCATGGTATAACTCACTGATGGGATTTTTTCTTTTTTTATCTGTTTCAGTGTGAATGAAGAAGTGAAGCATTGCATGATCTACAGCACACCACACGGATATGGCTTTGCTGAGCCCTATGACATCCACTGCTCATTGAAAGACCTTGTCCTGCACTATCGCCTGCACTCCTTAGCGCAACACAATGACGCCCTGGATGTTCGGCTGTCACATCCAGTACACGCTAAAGCTGCAGCCACGCCTTCCCAACACACAGAGGAACATGGTCTCCTACAGACTCCAAAACACACAGCGGGGCTCCCACCTGCTGCTCCAGAAATGTAATCCAACAGAGAAAGACAAAAAAAAAAAAAAAACACGTTTACTGTATCCTGCGAGAACGACTGCATCGAGGTGCATTGTGTAAAATTTTGCACTACAGTGATTCCATCAGTTTTTGTGAATGGGATTTCACAAATTGAAGTGGGACCGGACTTGAATGTTAGCTTGAATGTGTTTTTGTTTGTTTTGTTTTTTTCTAAAAGACTTTTGAGGCTTTCAAAAATGTTTTGTACTTCATTTATTGCCGTTTGTTTAATGGACACCTTTTCAGTTGGGATGTTGACAACCAGAAGGTTTCTCACTGACATCAGGTGTTACACCTTTGTTTGACTTCAGCTTTTACAACTAGAGTTGATTTTGCTGGAGCTGTCCATTCTCCTAGTTCAAATGTATTCAGTTTTGAATATAGATATATATTGGGTTACTATTACTTAGTGCATTTGTGAGGGGGAAATTGTGCTGTAAACAGGCTGATTCTGTCTTATCCGTTTGGTGGACCAAACCATTTCTGGGTAAATACCACATGTGAATATGTGAAAAGCTGTGGTGCATCTTGACAATTTGCTCCTTTCCTAACAGACCTACATATACAGTGGATACGTATGTAGCATTAACATCCTGTAGAATTCCATTGTAAGAGCATACTCAATGTTACACCCATTGACCAAAGCACTTAATAGTGAGTAATACTACATCCCTGTTTAGTTCGATAATTGTATTTGGGCAAGAGGAGGGCAATTTATGTACACCTGCTGATGTGCTGATCAAAACATAATCTGAAGTACTGTATGTTATATTCTGTTACTCAAAGAAGTATAAGCTTTTTTGTATTCTACATATATTTTTTTCTATAAACATGCTACAAGATGAAAGCTTGAAGAAAGTGCAATCCAACAGTATTTCTATTGTTGCAATGTGTGACGATGATGATGGTGGTGAAGGTAATGCTGTTATGAGAGGTTGACATTTGCCACAAAAGTGCACTCTCCCTGGTGGTGTTGGTATGATGTGGCCTCCGATGTTTGTGTGAACTGCCAGAGGTCTGGAAGTATCCTGCCTCCTTTACTTGAACTGTGGCAATTCTCAAGCTATGAATGTTTTTCATGACATGCAGCCTGCATAGCTTAAGAGGAAAGGAATCCATGTTGAACTTGGCACATTTTTCAAGTTTTAGGACAACAGACACTCTGTACAGAGAAACTGTCAAGTGCATTTCTGAGGTTGGTTTATGGAAGAAAAGTGATTAAGCATCTTATAAAAATATAACTCCATCGGGGGACTAAGGAAACTCCTCGGGTGAAGCTAAGCAATGTGAGATCCTGACCTTTTTCTTGCTGAAAGACAATAAACTGTTGAGGGTTTTGTCAATTTGCATAATTCATTTCTTTTTTCATTCTATGTGCATTGCTTCCAAGATATCACTTTTTACATGTCACATTTTACATTTTCTGAGCTATTTTTGACATTTTTTCCATGGATAGAAAAATGACCAAAAACAAGACACACAATGAGTTAAAGTGAGATAACTTGTTACCTAAAATTTACTGTCTGTCTCTAGTGGAGCCATTGCAGTCTGATGAGCCTATCCTTATCAGCAAAGATAGGAGGTAGTGAGGGCATTGGAGAAAATACTGTGGACAGATGGAAGAGAAAGGAAACGATGAAGACAATAGCAGGATATGTGACAGCGCTTTCCTTGTACTCACTCTGGTCCGCTATTGAGTCACTAGAAAAAAATGTATCAAACCTACTTCAACATGTGGTATTTTATAACAACTTTTCTTAAGCTCCTTAAGAGCAACACAAACTTCATCATGGAGTCGATGCCTTTGTTATCTAACACTTACACAAAATTAACGTGTTCCAAAGTTTCCAAACAAAACACAAGTTTCATGTACAAAGAAATGCCTGTGTAAATCTTGATGATGATGACCCTGGGTGACACCACTATTGGCCCTCCATGACCAGAGTAACAGGTGGCGTCTTTGAAGCTTCACATAAGGTCTGTGTTAGGTAGGGATTTATATACAGTCTATTGTAGGGCTTATTTATGTGTAGAAGGCAGGATGTTCTGGGGGAGAGCTTCAGTTCCATGCCACAGATTACTCCCTCTTACCGTTGTCAGCGCAGAAAGCTGGCAGAGAGGCAGCATGCATGCATGCTCTGCTAGGATGGACCAGGTGCAGAGGTGATAGATAGATGGAGAGGACTGACTGTACCAGCACTGAGTCACCCCGGCTGTGTGAGTGTCCAAAAGCCAGGGAGAGAGATGGGTAGAAAAACTTTGTCAGGTAGGAAAATAAAAGGGACAGGAAAAAGTACTCAAAACGGGCATTTCTCTAACTTCTGTACAGGATGGTATAAAAATGATGACTTGAAAGGTCAAGTTTGGCCTTTCCTACATTTCCTTTAAATTGAAACACACCCATCTGACTATATCCCCAAGGATATTTGCTTTTACAGCAATTTCACTTACACTGCTCAGTCCTATTTCCTTAGCTCACTGAGTCTGACTTTTTTTCTTCTTAAATACACAGACCATTTCTACTGTCCTCCCTTTTGTCTTTCCTTGTCAGCAGACCTCAGTCGTGCAACTCGCTCGTTTATATTCACAGTCACTTTGCTTTATAGTTCTCAATTTAAATAAGCCCTGGCTGGGGGGCAGTAGGACGAATTACCTTTGGAGTTAGGCCTAAAATACACACCATCAACTGTCTCACAGGCTTTCAGAAAAATAGGTTTATGCTTTCAGTTTGGCCGCAGCCAATCGCGTCTCTCCTCCCCGCTGTCTCCGTCCGATTTCACCGCTTTCACGCTACCCGATCAACCAATGGGAGGCCGAGAACGCGTCGAGCGTCATCCAATCAGCGAACAGTTGCTATGTTGGAGGCAGAATCGATAAGAGAGGGATTTTTTGTCTCTATTTTACAAACTCACATTATAGCTGGCTTATGGGCTGAAGGCAAGAAGTCCGACTGCCTGCCAACAGCATGTAGACTACGGAATTAACCATTAAACGCAACAGCTCCAGCGTTTTCTTTGAAGCCTCTCTAATTTCACCACAAATAAATGCTGAAACGTTTGTCTGAATATTGTTGTCAATATACAGATGTAGCGTTGTGGAAGTAACTTTGCAAGTTACTCTACAGTAAAAGAAGTTGAACTATAGCAAAGCTACCTCAGGGATAAATCTAGTTTGGTTAACTAAAGTTACCTAGACAAAGTAGTTCAAACTACTTTATTTAAGAAAATATATCACATTGAAAATGTACATGTGATACAAAATTATAACAAAATACAGTACAGAAATGTCTTATTCCAGCAAAAATAGAACTCAGGTGAGTTTATTACTTGAGACCTGAACCTCTCCTAAATAAAACAACCCCATCAGGGTTTTTCACAAGAACAAAATCGCAAGGAATGTTATGTTTATGTTGTAAACAAATTTGGATTTTTTAAATGATCTGAATACAATTAAAACAATAAAGAACAACATATTTACCTTGCACCTTTTTAGATTGGCTGACTTGAGCATAGGTCTACAAAAATGGGCCTGTTGTTTTACTGGTCAGTTTTGTAACATCTGACAATTAATAGTCTTAACAGCAATAACAGTCTTCACTTTAATTGCACCTTGCCACTGAAAATGGAACTAAACACTAAAAGAGCTGCTCACATGCAGCATGGTAAAATAAAAATATTATGAACCATAACTGTTTGTTGTTTCAGCAATTAACTACACAAAAATAGAAACTTAGTTAAACCTCTACTTCAAGTACATGTTCTTCATGACTCCCAATACTGTACTTTACATATTGTATGTACAAATGTACAGTAACTTTTCGTGAATTCAGGTCACAGGTTGATCACCCACTGAGTTGTTGAGGAGATGGGAAAGATTGAAAATTAAACTGAAAAATTGTTTCCAAGCCTGGGGGAATTATGGTAAATGATGCACACAAACAGGTTTCAGACTTAAAACTAGACAGCAGTCAGACAGTGTAAACCTCCACCAAGGTAGCTCACTGTCCTCATAATGCCACTACACCTACATCTAAAAGTAATATTCTCATGATAATTTGATAGGTCAGATCTGTTGACACCATACTAAATCAGCAGAGTTTCAGCTAGAATTTGATTTTCATTGCAAGTGAGTAGAATTATTTGTTGTCTCACAGTAGCAAGTTTTCTGTGAGGCCTGTAAATCTGAACTTTCTGGACCACCAGATCATAAATATTACTTGGATCCAGATCTTACTTTGGTGTGTGGAAGATCTTATGTTATCGAGCAGTTTTTGTCCAAGTATTGTAGGCATTATGTACACAGTTAGAGGCCAAAATGTTGAAATCGGCCTGATCTCACAATGGTCAATTGTGAAGAATGCTTTAAAAATTTCCTGGATCTGGATGATGAGCCGAAGCAGCACTAAAATCTAATGGTGTGTTCTGTGGAGCCCCCTGTCTCTCCATTTCATCAAAATCCATTCATTACTTTTTGAGTTATGCTGTGAACAAACCAACCAACAATCAAAACGACAAGCATGATTTTTTTTTCTCCTCAGGCACAGATCTCTTTTTTAAAAATATCTTATCTCTCCTTTTAAGGAATAGCCCAAATAACAAAATGTCTGATTACTTACAGTAAGCCCCAATATACGGTAATACAAGACTGTGAACACTACAGTGAAAACAGTGAAAATAAAGAACAAAGGTGCATAGGAATTATCCTCCCAGTGACCCAATTCAAACCTGCCTGATTTGGTCTCGTTTTACTGAACTGTATTGTCAGAAAATTACATTAGATCAGTAGTATTGAACCAACTCTGTTTACAATAAGGTGCAAAAGCCTACAGTATATGAATTGCACCTTTTACTTGTTTTCTAAAGTAACTAAAATAAGAGTGAGATAGCATTAAACAGTACTGAGCAATGATAATATGTAGGATTTGCTGCGGTTTTGTGTGGTATCACTGCACAATGCTTACAAGCTTAAAATGATAATTCATTAGCTATTTCCCTAACATGTGGTGATAGTGATTGGGGTAAGGGGCTCAGAGCACACTGAGATGAGAGGTGACACTGAGCCAGCTCTTAGAAGGGGATAGCATACTACTGCTTAATGACAAACCATTCAGCAGAAATGCAAAGCCAGGTCCACAACCAAATCAGATTTGCAGACAGCAGCTTTGGCCAGGAAGGAAGATGATCTCACCTTGCTGAAACAGGTAGAACAAGACAGTGACATATCACCAAAATAATATATTTACTTTTGGATAAATGCCAGACTACTTGCATGATTTCCTTCTTATTTAACTTCAGAGATACCATATTAAGTTGTTCTTCTATTTCTCAAGGAAAGAAATACTCACTATTGTGTTCAGCTGTGATAAGGACCTCGACGTCCCTCAGGCTCTCAGGACAATCTCACTGCGGGAGTTCAGTTCTCAAAAAGATTAAATAAAGAACCATCAGGCACATGGCCACCAAACTAATGTGGTACAGGGCTGATGGACACTGGTTCCGGTGCAGAGGTGAAATTATAAAACCAAGTCTATCTGAAAGCCACATACCGTATGTACACTGTGCATGGTGAACTCAGCCAAAATAAAGATATAAGGTTCACAAAGTTAACAAGTCCGGTCAGGGGAGGTTTAGAACCTTGTCTGGCTATATCAGAGCAAATGTATCCACTGCACGATAACATTTGGAACTACACAAAATTAAGTACTCTCCTCACTTAATGGGGATTTTACAGCATAAGTTATGAGCAATATTATTGAAAAAAGTAATTTCATAAAATTACCACAGAGTGCTGTAATTTTGCATTATATGGTATGATTTAAAGCCAGTCAAAGCACTCAGTAAGCTCTACCTTCTCCTACCCTTAGGCTGTCTGTTTCATCTCGTGATATTTTTCTTTCCATCTAGTCAGAGGACAGTACCCTGATGAAAAAGGCAGTCACAGCCTGCACTTAAAACAGAATGATAATTATAGTGACAACTTTCCATAGGATGACCCTCACGCTATTTACTTTTACTCCCACAGCATGGGAGATTTAGCAAGAAAGGCGAACACTCTGTTTCCCATCACCACAATAGAGACGGCTATACCTATCAAAAAAAAACAAAAACAATCACGCTGTAACAGAACCACTGTCACCAAAAGAAGCCTGTGACACTACATTCAGATTCATTTCAGCACCTCACCTACTTGTTAAAACCTGTTTTACAAGAGACACCTGCCCAGGCAGCAGCATGAAGAAAAGGCAGGGATTACAAATGAAACACATAAAGCCTAAACACTAGAAATGATGCATGAAAATTCTGTCATTGAGGTTAATTTACTGTTTTTAGCAGAGGCTTCTTTTCCACCTCTGGTAATGGAGACAGAAGCTAAATTAAAACTCTAAATTACACTTAAAACATTTTTTTTGATGAACATCATGATGAACTTGTAGAGAACATGTATGCCCCTTGCCAGCAATGTATTATCTGTTGATTGAGTGGAGTATGTTGTCACACTGAAATGAATGAAACACAAATGAGACCCTTGAATTGCAAAACAGCACTAATCACCTCACAACTGCTAAAAATACATGATGTGATTAAGACGCATTGTGGAAAGTTATCATGCCACTATTGAGTTTTCTGGGTTCTCTGACAAACATGTAGCCAGACTGTTTGATAAATTGGATACATTTAAAAGAGATCACATTACATGGCGGTATTTATTGAGTAGGCTCAATTTTACTCATGAAAAGATTTGCACTGAAAGTCGAGTGTGGAAAAAGTGATTACACTGAATGTGGCAGAACTTGGCAGTACTGCCATCAATATATTGTCCTTGATAGTTAAAACTGTTGATAGTTAAAAACAATTTTTTGGCTCAGTCATGATTTTTTCATGTTCACAGTCTCCCTCTAGTCTCTTAGGGTAGACAATTAGATGTTTAAATTCCTCACTGTAAAAGGAAAAACATTAAAGGAATAGGAATGCCTGTCTTTTCAAAGCTCGTTTAGGTCAAACGGTGAACCCTGCCTTGTTATATTGGCTTACTAAGAGTCTGTTTAAGCTGTATCCAATAAGCTAATTGTTCAGCTGAGATAAAGGACATGCTGGATGCAATTTAGGGAAATAGGACACTGTAAATTTAACAATGCAGGGCAACAAGAGAGAAACCCAACCAAGGGTGGCCAGGTTGGCGCAAGACTACCTTTGAGTCTTAAGTAATCAACATTAGTAACATGGAACCACAGCATATACTCTAGCACACCACAGATGGTTTAATTCTGACTGACACACTGAAATAGCTGGAAATACAAATCACGTGACAGATATGACAGGACTTGTATTTCAAGTGGGTGACAGATAATCTTAATGGGTGTTACAGTTATTAACTCAGATATGTGTTCAGGTGTGTTTTTTTTTTTGTTACTTAAACTCAGTTGACCAGACACTTCTAGTGAGGCCAAGCGGTGCTAGAGCTCTGAATGTAATAACAGGTTTCAAACATAATATTTACTTGAAAACAAAGTGGACTACCTACAGTATTTCCACTGTCTAAAAGAGCAGCTGTAGGCTTCCAGTGCAAGAGGTTACAGCCAACACATTGGAGGATAACTACATTTAAAATTACCATTCTGCTAGGCTCTGACATGGTAAGAATGCTATGATAATTTACATGGTAGGTTTCTGTGGCTTGTTGTCAAGGGCTTCCATTTGTTTAGCAGCTTGTTCAAAGGCAACACTGCCATCAAGCGTGGAATATTGTAACAGGTTTGGTGTGTATGTGAGGTGACCAAAACCAAGAAACTGAATTGAAATGACACATTTTCTGATACATAGCTAGGAAACATCATCAGTGATGTTACCTGAGGTCATCGGGTATTTCGGGTCTTTCAAACTTAAGACACCCTCGCTCAGGCGACCCAGCTGAGGTTGATCAAGCCACAGCTTGTCCCCTAGCAGCACTCAACCATGGATCCACCTTCTTTATCCTGAGCCATCTAAAGGCTTTTTCTGCTGCCTCTGTGCTGCAATAGATGGCACTTCTCCTCCTCTCGCCTGTAATGCCGAGTGCAGCATAGGCTCTACAGAGAGACTGTTCTGCAAAACCCCTGCACCCAATCTCTACAGGAATGCACTTCCCCTTCCAACCTTGTCTATGGCTGTCATTGATTAGACTGTCATATTTCTGCCTCTTCCGCTCAAAAGCCTCCTCCATCTGTTCCCATGGCACTGCAAGTTCCAACAAGACTACGCTCTTTGTCACCTCAGGCCTAAGAGAGGTCTTCACAACATTCTGAGGGAACTTGAGGTGTCTGCCCAGATCCACTAACAGGTGCCAATCCTGCGCTGTATTGAGAAACCCTGACATTTTCCTCATTGTCTTTTTTGATAAGGCTGATGACTTGCTTTGTGGGTTTAGACCTCTGACAGCTGGCAATGGCACTTCCAATGCTCTCTGCAATAGTCTTAAGCACCTGGTCATGATGCCAACGATATCAGCCTTCCCCCAGCGCCCTTGGGCAAGAACTCAAAATGTGCTCAAGGGTCCCCTTCTTCTGACAGAGGGGACCTGCTGGAGTATCAGTCAAACTCCAGTGGTGCAGATTAGATGGACTGGGAAGGACATCATAGACACCCTGAATCAAGAACCTGATGCGATCTGGCTCTGCTCGCCAGAGGTTGGCCTACGAGATCTTCCTCTCCACAACTTGCTCCCATCTGGTCCAGGCTCCTTGCTGTCTCATTCCCACTGCTCTGCTAACCCTCTCTTCCTCAGCAACTGCTCTCACCTCCTTTTGGACTAGTTGCCTCTGCTCTTTACCCTGAGTCTTGTCAAAATGGGGGTTGCGAAAGATCCTAACCCAGCCCTCCCTCTGGCCACTGTTCCCACCAGGACTCCATGGCATAGCCATGACTCTGCCTGTTCTACTGCAGCCTTTGCTCTCGACTTCCTCCTGGTCTTCACTATTACTCCTGCCCTATAAACTTTTGAGTCCCTTGACTCTCGATGTTGAAGCACGTCCCTTGCCCACAAAACCTTAGATTCCTCCCCAATGGATTTCACGAGGAGCGTTAGTTTGCAGGTATTCCCATAAAGTGCGATATTACTCAAACTCCTTGCCAACCCTAACTGTCTTCTCAGGAAACTACTGACTTTTATTTCATGGTCAACTATGGTGAAGATTGAGAAGTCATAGAGTAGCAATGGCCACAGTATCCTAGTCAAAATCCCATGCTGGTAAATCCACGCCTTAAATTTCCTGGGAAGGCCCGATTCGTCAAGATCTTTTAACCATTCCTCCAGTTCCTCATAGGCTTTCTTGATGAAGGCTGTATCCCTGAGGGTGCTGTCAAAAAACTTCCCCAAGCTCTTTACCGGCTTCTCAGAGATAGTGGGGATTGGTGTTCCTGAGATGAAGAAGCGGAACCTATCTACCACTCGTCCCTTTTTCAGGACCAAAGATCTTGATTTTGTTGATTTAAAAGACATCCCGGCCCATCCTATCACCTTTTTCAACCCCTCTAAGGTCCATCTGCTTGCAGGTGCTGACTCGGTGGTCAATGTCAGGTCATCCATGAAGGCATGAATTGGCGGCTGGCAGATCCCGGACCTGGACTTGGGACCTCTGCATTCTGGCTCTACAGATTTAACTAACATGTTCATTGCCAAAGCAAACAGGATCACAGAGATGGTGCCCTCTTTTCTGAGGGGGATGAGAGAAGCAGATAAAGAGGAGGTGCAGATCCTCAGAGTGGAGACCGAAGTCTTTGAGATTTTCCTTGACTTTATATACACAGGTCAACATCCATCCCAATATGCACAGCATCACGTTCTGTAAAGTCTGTATAGTTTTGTATCGTTTTCTCAAAAGAAATTTCTATTCTTTGTATCAGGAGTGATCAGTGTGACCTCCACTCTGTGCCACTCAGATGTTATTGATCCTGTTGAGACTCAAACTGAAATCACTGAAATAATCTCAGATGAGGTCTCTCACTGAAGCTGGAACATGGTGCCTCTCCAGCATCTCAAGAACCGATTTATGGGGCATTGAGCCATAGGCACTGGCCAGATCTAACCACAGCACCACCAGATTACCCTTATTCTCCCTTGCTTCTCTGAGGAGCCGAGTGACCACACCTGTATGCTCTAAACACCCTGGTACTGAAGTGTCAATGTATCCATTCTTGAGGAAGAAATCTTTCGCTTAGCTACAATGCTGAAGAAAATCTTCCCCTCAACACTGAGCAATGAAATAATTTTAAACTGGCTAATCCCCTTAGAACTCTCCTCTTTAGAAATCCACACTCCTTCTGCAAACCGGCACTGCTGTACTATTCTTCCCTTCCTCCAGATGACTTTTAGGATCTTCCAAAGCCAGTTTAATAACTTAGGACAATGCTTATAGACCTTATAGGATGTCCCACTTGGTTCTGGTGCAGATCTAGACTTAGCTTTCCACACCACCTCCTGAACTTCCTTCAGAAGCAGCTCCCTCAAATCAAATGCCACTACCGGCTCTGCTGGCCTTATTACTGCCTTACATTGCCCTAAATCTTGATCTCGGGAGAGGGTGCTGAAGGTGTCATGGAGATACTGGTCGACTTCCTCCTTTGAACACACCAGGCATCCACTGCGTCACTGTCCAAGGAGGATCCCTAGTAAACCCAAATGGATTACTAATGAAGGCAGCTCGTCTCCTAGCTCTCTCCCTCCTCCATCTCCTGTGCAGCTCAGCTCTACGCATGGTTAGGAGGCTCTTCCTGAATATGCTGTGAAGCTCTGCAAGTGGTACCCACTCCTCTTCCCTAGCTTCCTTGTACTGCTTCTTCAAGGCTTTCAGTTCTTTCCTGATCTTGTGAATTTCGGTAGCCCTCCGATTTCTGGTGTAAGGCTGCTTAACAACCTTAGCCTCCTCCACACCAAACCTCTCTGCAGCCATGTTCACTATGATGGTTGTCATCGTCTGAAGCCTCCTCTCCACATATCCCTTGACTGTTGCTTCCAACACCCTCACTATATTTTCATCACGCCACTCTCTTGTTTTGGTAACAGGTTTGGTGTGTATGTAAAATGACCAAAACCAAGAAAGATAACAAAGAAAATAATAATTAAAACAAAACTATAGTAGTTATACCCTTGTGTAATATAACATTTTGTTTCGGACAATGGCAAAACCGGTGCCACCGAGGATATCTAGCATTCGAGGATTGATTAGTTATGACCACTGAAGATTGAACTTGTCAGACCAGTGCAGTCGATCCAGAAATAACGATTGATAGTTTGCAGGGTGACGGAAGTTGCCTGCATCCTTATCAGCAAACTTATGGGTAAGTTGCAGCTAAAATCAACCCGAAATTAGTATTTTTGTATGCTTGTCCACAGTTCTCAGCAAGCAGACATTCTTGTTAGGGGTTGTTCGAAAAGTAAAGATGTTCGATATTAGCTGACTGTCACTGGTTAATATGATTATTCAATCTAGGCTGCCGAGTCCTCTGTTGGCTAGCATGTCAGACTAACACGGCTGCAGCTGTATTTTCATAGACAAAGCAGCAGTGAGATAACGCTATCTTTGAATTGATCCAGTGTGCTTTACCGTGACACACTAGAGACGGACACCTTTTATCCTTTATGATGTTGTCGTTAAAGCCACAGCTTTACTATTGCATAACCACCAAACGTGACTATCTGTATGTGTTGTTTTGCGGTTAGTTTTCATTGTGATTTTCAGGCCTGTTTCTGCTTAAACTCAGGAGAGAGTAGGATTTGGGGATACTGGTCTCCGTAGTAAAACAGTCCTACACCAGCTGTTATGTGCTCCATCTCTGTGTCAGCATCCCCTTGTTGTGGTGGTGATGCTGCTGCCATGGCAACTCACGGGTCTGAGCAGGCTCTTCTGGCCTCAGAACACTACGCCAGACTCATCCTGTCCCAGATGAACAAGATGCGGCTCCGCGCTGACTTTTGTGATGTGGGGCTGAAGGTTGGCAGTCGGGTCTTCAGGGTCCACCGGCTGGTGCTCGCTGCCAGCAGCCCATACTTTTCTGCTCTCTTTTCTGGGGGGATGAGAGAAGCAGATAAAGAGGAGGTGCAGATCCTTGGAGTGGAGACTGAAGTCTTTCAGATTTTGCTGGACTTCATATACACAGGTCCACATCCATCCCAATATGCACCTTGTGTTCTGTAAAGTCTGTATAGTATTGTACTGATTTCTCAAAAGAAATTTCTATTCTTTGTATCAGGAGTGATCGGTGTAACAGTGGACAATGTTCAGGAGTTGATGGTGGCAGCAGATATGTTGCAGCTGAATGAAGTGGTGTCTATCTGTGGAGAGTTTCTCAAGGGTCACATGGACCCATCTAATTGTGTGGGTATCTTTCAATTTTTGGAGGGGATTGCCTACATGGACATGCTGGAATTCACAGAGAATTACATACATGTTCACTTCCTGGAGGTATGAACACACAAAAGTGATAGTCTGACATTTTATGTATACCTTTGCCAAGGCTCTTGTTTTGTTTTGATACCCTCATCTAGTTAATTAAACATATACATACTGAAAATCAGTACAATAAAACACCCTCAGTGTCTTTTCAGAACTGCATTTGTACTGTATCATTTATGTTGCTAAAAGCATGTCAACTCACACAGAAAGTGTCAAGTTTAACACTAACTAATTCTCTCTTTAGGTGTGTGCCACTGACGAGTTCAGGGGCCTGTCAAAGGATCAGTTGGTGAGGCTGCTACGAAGTGAAGAGCTGAGAATTGAGGATGAGTACCAGGTATTTACTGCTGCCATGGACTGGGTTCTCCAAGATGTGGCAAAGAGGAAAAAACATGTTGTAGAGGTACTGGAACCAGTCCGCTTCCCTCTGCTTTCCCCACAAAGACTTTTCAAGTACATAGAGGGTAAGAAGTGTATAAATAATTGTATTCCTTTTTATAATTTAGGTTTGCAACATTGCTTTAAATTTGATTACTTGATATTTTAATGTTTGTCTATTTGTAATTGAATAAAGGTATTACAGACTTCAGCCTGCGGGTGGCACTGCAGACTCTTCTGAAGGAATACACTGAAGTCACAAAGTCTCCCAAAGAAAATAAGATGTACAGTCAGCTACAACCATCCAAGATGAGACCCAGAAGAAAAGCCAGGAAATACCTCTATGCCATAGGTTCTGTTTCACATCTCTTTATTCGGCTTAGAAACCTTACTTGATGAAATGCGATAATTGAAGATAGTTTAAAATAAGACACTACCTGAGATTTTCCAAATAGGGAATGTCGGAAATACTATTTAATCCTGGATCTTCACTTGTTTCTGCATGTCAGGAGGCTACACTCGGCTGCAGGGTGGCCGCTGGAGTGACAGCCGGGCATTAAGCTGTGTGGAACGCTTCGATACCTTCAACCAGTACTGGACCACTGTGTCGTCCTTGCACCAGGCTCGGAGCGGGTTAGGGGTTGCCGTCCTGGAGGGCATGATCTATGTGGTGGGAGGTGAGAGAGCTGAGCCCATCTTCTGTTTATTTTTCAACTCCAAAAATAAAAGAACCTGAATCGAGCCTGACACTTGCATGTGTTTTTAACCACCAGGAGAGAAAGACTCAATGATCTTTGACTGCACAGAGAGATACGACCCAGTGACCAAGCAGTGGGCCGCTGTGGCATCTCTGAACTTTCCTCGCTGTGGAGTTGGCATCTGCCCCTGCCATGGAGCGCTCTACGCACTTGGTAAAAGTCACAGTAATACTAACATCACAAAAACACATACAACACATGCAGACAGTTTTAAAGGAGAACACACTACCAATTTCACACATGTAGATTAGTTGTATAATGTCAAAAACCATGGATGTGACATCACTTGCATTGCAGAATAGTCAGGTAAGATCTAGTGAAGAAGAAGAAGCTAATGAGTAGAATTGTGGAAAATGTACGATTCTGTGGTTTTGAAGTTATTGAAGTTGGCCAATTAATTTTAAACTTTTTTTTTTATTTGTCTCTTACTAATCTGCCATCTTTATGGAAGTGGAGTGTTAAATTTTGGAAGGAATACAGTAAAACAGCATAGAAGCCGTGTTATTAAAGATTGATTTGATTTGATTTATTCTTTCAAGCATGTAAAGACAGTTGATATGTCAACACACATAATTTTACACATATCCAACAAATGCTAATCCAATATCAATTTGCTTATACCTAGTACATGCTTGAATGGAGTAGGAAGAAGTCAGACTTATCCAGTCCTACCCCATGACATCATCTTACCATCATTGGTTTGCAAGCAGTATCTCTACATAAATAATTCTCTTCTACACCACACAAGTAATATACTAAAAAATTATAACAGAGTGTTAACATTCTTACATAATTACATTCTTAAATAATTATCTTCTACACCACACAAGTAACATACTAAAGAATTAATACAAGGTGTTAACATTCATACACCACACCCACAATGTTCCATCTGATTAATCATTAAACCTGTTCTTGCATATATCTTGATTGACACATACCTTTATATTTATGTTTAAACTCGTCAATTCTATTACTATTTTTTATGTCCACACTTAAATTATTCCATAGTTTTACCCCACTTATGGAAATACAAAATCTTTTTTTGGTTGTACATATAGCATGAATTTTTAAATTTAACTGACCCTTTAAATTGTATCCCCCTTCCCTTTCATTAAATAGTTTTTGAATTCCACCAGGTAATAAATTGTTCCTGGCTTTATACATAAACACAGCAGTCTGATATCCCACTAAATCAAACAATTTTAACAATTTAGACTGTATGAAAGCTACATTGGTGTGATCCCTATACCCCATCTTATGCACAATTCTTATCACTCTTTTTTGTAATATATA